TGCAGAGCAACAGTTGCAGGCTGCAGGCTCAGGGGAAAAAAAAAACTAGCAAGAAGGAAAAAAAATTTATCCCCTCGCCCATTTTACTGCTTTCCCAAAGTTTTCTCTGTTAATTGTGGTCAAAAGTTTTAATTTTTTTTTATTTTTTCGCGAAAACCTCGGCGAGCATTAAGCGCTCTTACATGGTGCAAAGTCATGTGTTTCCTTTTAAGTTGAGATTGCTGAATGCCAACCGCTCGATATAATAAACAGCAAATTTGTGGTATCCTGTTGCAGTTTGGAGCTGGACTTAGGAGCGGAGGGGAGTGGGGTGTACGGGGAGCCCTTGCTTAGATGGGCCGGGGCGCTGGGAAAGCCACTGCTCTCACTGCAGGGTGTGTTTTTTCTCCTCTGAAAAGTGGAAAAACTCCCCTCTCCGGTCTTCATCCATGCAGTGGGTTAGAATAATGCGGAATATTTATTTTATCGGGGCGCGATCTGTACCCGTCTCTTTGTTTAGCAGGCGAAAAGGAAAATACTGAGAGATCTGAGAGCCCCAAATGAGGTTTTGCTGTTTAGGAATGGCAAAGGGTAGGCGCCTACTGTTTTCTAGGGAACATCTCCCATCCCAGGGACCATTTTCTCTCGAAAGTTTTAAGCGTTTGAGAAACCTTTTCGCTGGGGGCGGAGGGAAATCTTTTTTCTGGTGAGGGGACGACACAAGATTTTTCCGCTTCTGAGAGTTGAAGCGATTGCTTGGTGGCCGTGCTGTCGAAATTCAGTAGCTTATTTAAACGCTGTAATTAATTTTATTTTATTTTATTTTCGCCTTGTCTTCCCCCCCCCCCCCCTCCCTCTCTCTGCCCATCGGAGAATGTTTCCTCCATTTAAAGTGAGATGCACTGGACTGGATAAAAAGGCCAAGTACATTTTATTGATGGATATTGTGGCGGCTGATGATTGTAGGTACAAATTCCATAATTCCCGGTGGATGGTAGCCGGGAAAGCTGACCCTGAAATGCCAAAGAGAATGTACATCCACCCGGACAGCCCGGCCACCGGCGAACAATGGATGTCCAAAGTCGTCACCTTTCACAAGCTGAAGCTCACTAACAACATCTCTGACAAGCACGGATTTGTGAGTGCCTTTTACACCTTCCTCTGCCCTCCCTTTCCCCTCCCTCGCTGCCCGGCCGAAGCGGCGGGTCCCGGCGGGGGGAATGCTTGGCCGGAGCCATGTCCGCAGCTCCGGCTGGCCGCTCCTACGGGCGGGCTGAATGGGGGGAAAACGGGGGATAAATCCTCCACTCCATGCACACCGGGACGTGAGCTTGTCCGGTTTATAATATTCCTTGATTTTTTTTTTCTTCTGTTGCTGAGGCCAGGATTAAACACATGAGTTTATTCTGTAACCTCAGAGCCATTCAGCATGAACTTTAGAGAGAGATTTCTAGCACAGTGCAACTCGATATTTCTCGGAGTTGTGGTGACTTTATATATCTATCTATATTTTTAATAAAGTCGATCACGCTTTTTAACCATAGGAAAATGATATGTATATGTGTATAAAAGGCTTAAAGGCCTAAGTACGCAAACATTTAAATATATATTAATCTGGATAATGTAAAGCAAGCCGGAGTGAAAATAAACAGGGACCAAAATCAGAGGTCAAGTTGCCCATTCATGTCTATCCACTCCTTTACATTTACTGGGTGTGCAGAGATAAAAACTTAGCCTAAGAGTGAAATCAAACAAACCTGCTGATAAGTGCCCTGAGGATCCTGGCCATTTCTTTCTGCTCCTGGGAAAGCCTCCACCTCGGAGCCGGGGGTTGCTGGCGGTGGCCGCGGCCAGGGGATCTCTAATGTGCCGAAGATTGCATTTGCTGGCCGTGATTTGATTAGACGAAACATTTTTGCTTTTCGCAGAAGGCCTTAAGTGGATTGGGGTGAGCAATTAGCCCCAGCCAAGGCTCTCGCCGTGGTGTTGCTATTGTAGCTGCTGCTGCTTCTTTAATTTTTTTTTCCACGTTAAAATAAAAATATATTAAGTCGGAGCCCAAACAGCTTCCCCCCCGCCTTCCCCTCCTCTCCTAGGAGAGCTCTGCTGGGGTTTTACACCCTCCTTACCGCCCCCGGAGAGGTCCAGCAGAGAGCCTAACCCCGGCGAGCTGGAGCTGTCAGGGCTTTTTGTTGGCTGCTGCGAGGCGTGTGCGTGTGTTTGGAGTGTGCTCGGCAGGGAGGAGGAGTGAGGGGAGGAAGGAGAGGGGAAGGCAAATTAGGAGAAGAAAGTGCCCATGGGGGTGCTGCTTCAGCTGACCATCTTCTTCCTCCCCTTGTCCTCTCTGCTGCCGGCCGCTGCCCCCCCCCCTCCTTGCCCCCCTTTTAAACTCCATGCACAAGTACCAGCCCCGGTTCCACATCGTCCGAGCCAACGATATCCTCAAGCTTCCCTACAGCACGTTCAGGACCTACGTTTTCCCGGAGACTGAATTCATCGCAGTGACCGCATACCAGAATGATAAGGTAAGGAGATTAAGAAAGGATTTGGTTTACGTGTTTTGGCTTTTAACAGAGCTTTTACTCTGCATTGTTCCCTTAAAAATCACGAAGCCCATCCCGTTCCTCTCTCTCCTTTGCCGTTCCCCCAAAGCCTCCTTGATCTAACTTTGGGAAGGCGCCGGGGGAGGGGGTCGGGCACTTTCCTAATACCGACCCCGGGGAAGGCAATTAGAAGGGAGGTCTGGGGGAGGGGGGGGCTGTTTAGGGGGATTTTTTTGCCCCTCACTATGAGGAAAGGAGTAGGATGGGGTGGGGATCGCCGCGCTCGGTGTGGATTTAATGTAAGATGCATCGAGGAGGGGGAAAAATAAAAATGGGCTCTGTGTGTCGAAAGACAGAGGGGGGAAAGCAGTGGGGCTGGCAATTTTGTAATTCTTCCTGGCCTTTGTGCTGTTTTAGCTCCTTTAACAGCAATTGGCAATAAGGCTGGAGTGCACGTCTGGTTCCTATTATTATTATATTATAATTTATTTTTTTTGCATCCAGCAGTGTTTTATTATTTTTTTGTGGTGCAGAAATATGTTCTGATCAGAGAGGGCTATCTCGCTCGAATTGAGCAGGAAGGTCTGAAAGAGTCAGTGCGAGAAAGTTTTGCAGCACTGCACACGCTGCCTTTCCATTTCTGCTGGTTTAGTGTCACTTGCAACGGAGGCAGTAGATTTGGGAGAGTGGCAAACGGCAAATTTACGCTAATTGAGCCCAGTGGAAGGAAGCGAAGGAGCCAAAGGAGGGGCTTTGATTTAATTTTTTTTTTATTTTCTCTCTATATATTAAAACTTTGCGTGCATGTGCGTTCGGCGCAGGAAGGTCTGTATGTGCAGCACCCTCTCGCCACAGCTTCCCCCGGCCTCTCTCTGCCCCCTCCCATCCTTCATGATTCAAAATTTAGGGGTGAAGAAAGGGGGTCCGCACTCTTCTGCCCTCGGTTTCCAAAGAAGCCACTTCTCCCGCTAGGCTCGGGCTGTTTTCCTCTCTACGGGCGAGGAAACGGCAAGAAAATGCGTGTACAGAGAGCAGACCTTGCTTTGGCATTTAGCAGCAGCGCTGCCCACCCCGGTCGATCAGCTGGGGCCGGTGTAGTGGAAGGCCAGAAATGAGCAGATTTGTCTGATTGCCATGAAATCGCCTGGAAAACGGCGTGAGGGAGCGGCGGGGAGCGATCGGCTCCGAGATTCAAAATCCCGCTGTTTTTTAGCCATGACTTTTCCTACTTTTTCCTGATCCCGCGTGTGCAGGAAGGCGGGGGTGGAAGGGAGCGGGGGGGTAACTCGGGAGCCGGGACCTGTCCTGGCCGGCTCTCAGTCCTGCTCGCAAATTGGGTGTCCGCACCTCCCCCCGCC